GAGTTACTTTCATTTTTGCTTCTACTTTTAATTTAAAATAAGTTTCCATTCTCAGCAGGTTTCTACAAGTAGGGGTCTCTGCAGACGAGTGGGCGTGTCCCAATGAAAGGCGATTCTAAAGCGACACACCTGATTTGACGGACTTTGTTAAAGGGACACACCTGATTGGACAAGCAAAAAAGGGGCGTTACTGTACGGCACCACATTTTCTGGAGACCCCTACTTGGGTCACATTTCTCCTGGTTGACCTTAGTGTTGGGGTCAGGGTCAGGCTGTAAAGAGGTCAAGCAGGTTCTAAGGATACCATCATGTAGGCCTCGTAGCCCACAGAGTTTATGCTTTAGACACGCCCACTCTTGTGACACGCCCACTTTGATCCTGCAGATAATCCCTTATCGGTTTCTAAGGTTCTTCTCCTACATATTAAAAAGTTGTTAAACATCTGAGTGGTGCACTACTGCTACTAGTGGTGASAAAGTGTATTACACCTTATTTAAAATCAATGTGGTCCCACGGCCCTCTGTGGCCCAAAGTTAAAAACTGTTGTTCTTCTGAGGCCCTGGCCCATAAGTTAAGAAACTCTGCTCTAGGCTGTTTAACAATAGACTATTAAAAACAGTTGGATTTTATGGATCTAAATATTTCAAATCATGTCTATGGGCTAAAATTAAACAAAGAAAAAAACTGAGCTTGTGAACGTCACAAGTGATTCCATATAGTTCCCCAGAGATATTCTTAGTCATGCAGACTTTAAAAAAAATTAATAAATTGTTACATGAAGACACTTACACATAAAGAGAGTACTTTAGTAATTTTTTTTTAGATACAAAGTACAACCCTGCATCCTGTGCTTTCAGTACGTTGGTTTCAGTATCAGAGTAGCACTTGGTTTGGGGTCAGTGCGTTACCTGTGTTGGATTTACACACTTTGGTTTACTAGTACAGGACTTAAACTTGATAACAGCTATAAACTTTTATTATCTATTGTTGGAGCATAAACCTGTAGCTTTTACAGAAGACAGAAACGTGTGTGGCTGCAACAAGACAGCCTGGAACTGTTTTCTTTTTTTACAAAAATCTATGGTTTCAATTTACCCAGCACAATTTGATGTGCTGGCCATGATTCTCAGCTAATATCACATCTAAATTAAGCTTAATATCTGTAGCTCTGATTAAATAAAGCCATTTGTGTTGGCTACCAGCTGTGGTAGCCAACACATATTGGTTTGACCCTGAAAGGTTATCAGTTGAACATGTTCATCCTCTGATGATGATGATGATCTTCAGATATTTTGCTAACTGTAGCTGTTGTCATGAAACAGTTACTGACTAGCAGCATCATATTTATTTTTGAGGCCTATGAACACAGACTGAACGTAAGAAAAGTTTAATAAAAGGAAAAGACACTATCTAAAAATTTACCTAGTGTTGTTGTGTAGCTTCTGCTTGGGGAATATATTTAACTTTTACTGTAAGTTTGACTTCAGTTGTCTGCCACTAAAAGTGAAAGCTTTGAAAATAGATTTATTTTTCTCACCACTGTAGAAAACAGGATCCAGACAGTTTCACATCTTAGTTTTGTTTGGTGGCAACAGGACATAAACCACAGATTAAGAAACCTGCATTTGGGGATTTTTAGAGTATTTTTTTTTTCAAATGAGTTTTAGGGTTGTTGCAGATGGTTTTATTTTTCACTGAGTTTGAACAGGATATTATGTAAATGTTTGTGTCTTGTTTCATTTTATTGCTTAGCACTAATTTAAAGGACATATGCTTTTAAATCCTTTCCCATATTTCAGTCATTCAGTTGAGGTCTATAGAAAATGGAAACACAATGCTTTGGTTTGAATTAGATTAGAGATTAGAGAGACCTTTATTGTCATCGTACAGAGCACAATGAAATTATAGTTCAGAACACCCGTTCATAAGGCAGAACATAAACTAACATAGGAGAACAGGTGCCCTCATGTCATGCAGACAAAGACAGAGCAAGGATCATCATCATGAAGACATCTTTATTTGATTTGATTTGATTTATTGATTTAACAGGAAAAGATTACTAAAAATCAAGCCTGACTCAGCATAGTTGCTGTTTTACAGCAGGTTCCTGTTCTGCAGCACATAAAAACACTCAGAATTACA